CTTTTTGCTTTGGAATGTTAACAAAATGCATGGACCAAAAAGTACCCCAACAACCATACATATTCGTTTTGTATAATATTGTCTAACATAATTTTTGAAAGTTTTATGAAATATTGCATGTATTATTTTTAATTGCTGGTTTGAATCAACTATCCGAATACTTATCAAATTCGGGGTGGTTGTTAAGAGACTTATTAATAATTAATATCATCTGTTAGTTCATATCTCTTTCTTGGAAAAGAATTCGTTATTGATTTCATGAGTTTTCCTATTTCCGACCTAATTTTATTATGTATACAAAACTTTTCTTTTGATTGTGCAGTGCAGATCTACTTAATTTACATCGCTTGTCAAGGTGATTTTCTCCCTTCTTTTCCTCGTTTATTGTATATACTGGCAGACGGAGGCGTTGCTTTCGCAGATCAGAGACACTGTAGCTATATCTAGACACCTTCAGTTCGATCCACCTCATCTGATTGAAACCTTCTTCCAGTTAATTGGTGAGAAAAACATCTTTAATTTGGCAACATAATTATCTTGGAGAAAGAGGGAACAGGCCGGGTTGTTATGATGGAGGTTGTGTGTCTGGACACGTCATATAATAATAATACTAGCTAGTTCTTATAACGCTCTTCAGGACCGATGGCCCTCTCAAAGTGCTTTACAGATATTTATACATTATTACCCCGGTCATCGGATTCAGGCTTACCCGCATACAATGTATGCACATTCTCAGGAGCAACATTCACATGTTTGCTGTAGACTTTCACCTAAAACTTCATCCAGTAGCACCAACGATAATGGACACTACAAAATATACAAAATGTATACAAGTGTATATTTGGAAAGATTCATGAAAATATTGCATGTTGTCTAGTTCAATTCACTGTTTAAAATCATATCTGTCTGATGGGAAATTAACCTGTCCGGACACATGACATAATGTTAAAGACCAGAGCATGGAATGATCTCGATTCGACATTAGTATCCCTGACTGACTCAGCAATGTTTAAAGTAGCACTCCTTCCGAAATCAGTCCACCCTCTGCCACCTCGACCTCCAGTTTAAATTCCACTAGGAATCTTTTGGAGGAACAACAACCAAGTACCAAGTAAAGAGATCATATTTAGCTCGTTGAATACTAAGCTCAAGATAACTCCGGTTGTAATCGGGAAAATATGTGTTATACTAAATAAGATTGTGTTCATTAGGTTAAATAACCAACCTTTAGGCCTGTAATATATTTTCATTACCCCAGCTGCAAGATACTTATATCAACCCCCACCCCCTTCCCCCGAATAAAAAAAAAAAGCACAACTAATTATAAAAATTATGCACGATCCCTTCAAGTAAAAAAAAAAACGAATTATTTCGATTATGATATAATTATATATCATTCAATTACTTGCATTTGTGTCAATCAGTATCCATTCCCACAAGTTAATGCTCTTATTAGATTGCAAACGAGGCGTCATTTGCCTGACGCATACTGACGTTAGAGACGGGTGTGTTCATTGACTCTTCAAATTAGAGTGACAACCTTTAAAAAAAAGAATTATAAACAAAATAGAAAGTGCAAGCAGTGCTTTTAGTAATCGGCTAATATTGATTTTAACAGAAGTTAGCAACCACGCGAACGAACTATCTTGATCAATTTGCAATTCATAGACTCAATATTAAGCGTATAAGTAACAATTACGTAATCGAATTGTTCAACGGGCAATAACCATAAATTGAAATGACGTCAGAGTCTATTGCATCTATTTGTAGATATGTATCCCTTGCTATGTGGCTTACTGAGTGAGCTTGAGCCCTGGAGTGGAACCCTGTTCTGGGATACGTACGGAGATTGGCTCCTCCATAAAGTTAATCATCCTGTCCCGAGCCTCGATTCACCTCGCATCGGACCAGCAGCTCACAGAGCAGACATCAAAGCTCTCAAGTTTGCTACTCGTAAGTCACATGGAGAGGGAACAGATGGAAAAGAGAAAAAGATAGAGAGAGAGAGAGAGAGAGAGAGAGAGGGGGGGAGAGAAAGTGGGGAGGGGGGGGGGGATTGTCTTCCATGTTATGCCGCGATAAACCGTTGTCATGGTTGTCGAGGTATATGCGTTTGATGATGATGATAATGACGATGCTGATGATGGACATGATAAACAATATGGATGATCATGATACCGGTGATGGTAATGATTAGGGTGATGATGAGGATGATGACGAAAATGATGATGATGGTGATGAAGATGGTGATGGTGACGATGATGGTGATTGTATAATGATGAGGATGGTGATTGTAATGATGAGGATGGTGATTGTTATGAGAAGGATGGTGGATGATTATGATGATACTGAATGCTATTAAACCAACTGATTTAATCGAATTTGCTTTTCCCGTCAATCCACAGATCATCTTTGGCCGGCATCATACTGGCGAGACAAACACTGCTACAGATGCTTCATCAAAGAATTCGGAGCTCGCCCTCTACGGCTGACCAGTAACCAATGTGCAAGACACGCCTGCCAAAGTTGGGTTCGTCGACTCCTCGACGACCTGCGCGAGCAGCAACCCGGTTTCTCCTCACGGAGTCTCCTAATTCCTCGACGAGACCGGTCGTCGACAAGGAGAGGGAGATCCAGCTTGAAGAGTCCGGCTCGTAAGAGCACCAGGAGACGGAGCTCGAGCTCCACCCCTAATCGACCTTCAGGTAGCACGAAGCATCATCGAATCACAATGGTCACTACGCTTACTGATCCGTTGAAAGACGAAGAACCAAATCAGGAGGACACTCGCTCATCCCCAAGAAGGAGAACAACCTCACGTGGTTTGGGTTATGAGATGAAAGCAAACACTAGGAAAGGATGGCCTAGCATGGATAATGACCATGCCACACCTGTCATCATGTTCGTTGACGACGCCGACTAAAAACAGCGAACAAAGAGACATATGCGGCCGTTAACCAATTCATTAATGAAGGACTCTCTATTTCAGACAAATTGAGTTGTTTCATAAAAAAAGGAAAAGCCCTAACGCTATGATCAAATACATCTCGGGGATATAACACAACATTTGACAGGTTAAAATATTTTTTCTGCCACGTTTAAAAATGGAAAGGAAATAGAATTCAGAGGTGATTTGTGAATGACAACAGACCATGAATGAATGAATGAATGAATGAATGTATGAAAGAATGAATAAATGAATGAAAGAATGAATGAATGAATGAATGAATGAATGAATGAATGAATGAAACTGACCATGAGTTTATAGATTCAGAAAATAGCTTCATTATACCAGACTTTTCTCTACAAGACCAAACGAGGAAGAAAATTAGCGAAATATTACATGTACATCGGAAATATTTATAAAAAGGTTTTTATTTTTTACTCGATCAGCATTCGATCGTTGCAGCCGAATCCATGCCAAACATGGCCTGTCTCATGACCCGGGGGTGGGGTAGGACAAAACAAGTACTAAGGTAAGCCATTAAGGTTATAAAGGACACAGCCCGGTTAATGCCTCTCCTATATAAAAACGCCGGTGTTCGTAATCTAGTAATCCAGAAGCTAATACTCTTCAATCGTAAAACGTCGTCTCGATTATGCTCTGACGCAAATTGCGAAATGATAAAGTGCTTACAAATATTGGTCTGTCTCTTTTTAATTACTTCGTCACCCAGGTTTTTTTTAAAGTGACGATTCATGCGCGAAGTTCAAATTTACTCAATCGAGGTTTTGAAAGCGATCGAGAGCAAAGCGAGTTGCGGTAAATAAAATGACAATTTATTATTGTAAACAAATGGTAGATACTTTATCAATGATTTTTGTCATTTGTCAGTGCAAAAAGGCTTTGTGAAACGACCCCTGGTCATTTAATTAGGGAATGATGTGACAGAAAGGCGATCAAATAAGCTGAGGGTGGCTTTTCGAGATGATCCTCTGCGGACGCTTCATCCGGGTAATTTATTGAACAAGTTAAGCCATCTTTACGATTGGAAGATAGGAGTGAAACGTCATCATGGTCAAACTCGAGCTCATGTCTGCAACGGCCGATTGATATCCGACTAGCCTGACGCTGGGCGCTTCATTGAACTTGTCACACGCATTCAGGCACTTGAACACAGGCTGAAGAACCGATCTGCCTCGAAGAGCCATGAATCGGTCCTTTTGGGGTCGGCATGGAATCGGTTTTGGCTGTGTTACTGAAATAATGTTATTATTCTTAACTAGGAATAGCCGGGGAATAGCCCAACGATTTAACTGTTATCTACGATTGAATCATTGACAATTATTTAACTACTTACTCGATACTTCAGCACCATCTTTTGCCGGGGACTTTTTTAATTCTTCACCAATTCCCACTTTTGCTCCCTGAGTGTCATCGATGCTTATTATTAACCATAAGGATGTTCTACTATTGGATCTAATATTTTGCTATCCTTATAATTCATGTTTGACGGATGGAAAGGGTGACATGTGCCTCAGCCTCAGGAATGCATCACATTTGAACATCACCGTGAGGCAGCTCATATAATTTGTTTTGGATAGAGAACTGCACATCTTCAGCAAGTGTTCACATCAGAATTCACTCTTTTCAAGAAAATAAGTTCAGTGTGTTTTCAAAGGCCACTGGACGCGGCACCTTGGTTATATACGTTCATCAAGGATACACGCATGTACCTCAACACTCCTCTAACTGTACTTCAGCACCACGTTATAGAGTCCACCCTTTACGAGAAGTCAGGATTTTTTACCCTGAGACATTCACAAGTCGTCGCTTTCTATATAATTATAATATGCATAAACGTAACAAAACTTCTTCATGAATTTCTTCAAGATTTTTTGAGGTAATGTAATCCCATAACTGATGAGAATATACACAGAATTGTACAACCTTACGATTTACCCCACTCTCTTCAAGAATCCAGTTGCTTCTGAACGTTCACAGGACATTGATGTAGACTCTGGAATTGCCACATGCCCAAATTTCGTATTCGACAATGATGGATCCTTACAATCTTACCACAGGTATACCTGAAGTACAACAGGATATATCTTATGTTCGCTATGTGTTGGTCAGTGTCTTCTTTCTGCCGTGTGCCATTGTCATTTTTGTCGGAAACACATTTGTCCTGTTGGCGTACAAGAGGGACAAACGGATCCGGAGAAATACAACCAACGCCTATATCCTCAACCTTGCTGTGGCCGACCTTCTTGTGGGTGTTGACATGGCAATTCATTTCCCTATATATCTTACAGGTAAGTGTAAGTTTGGCGGGGCGTTTTGTATCGTCTTGATGGCGCTGGACTACACAGCGACGGACATGTCTATAATGACGATCATCGCCATCAGCGTCGACAGGTACCTTATGGTGCACAATTCCCTACGGCATCTATCGAGACAATCCCACAAGAAGGTAGCCATCAATTGCAGTATCCTCTGGATGACCTGTCTAGCTGCCCATTCGACTCTTGCCTTCACCTACTCCTCAATGACAGGATTCCTGCATGATGAGAACAGAATAGCCGCGTGTGACCTTGGGTACGGAAAGAACCTGGTCGTCCTCATTGTAATGTTCTTAATCGAGTTCCTGGTTCCTGCTATATGCGTCTCCGCCCTCAATCTCACAGTGTATTTTCGTTTGAAGAGACGTACCAACAAGCTCCAAACCAGGCAAGGTCGAGACCACCAAGTATCATCTGTGTCTCGGACAACCTCCTTGGAAAACGATGACATGCAGATTCATGGAAGCGGATCAGGTTCTCAACACCAAAAAGCGGCAAGGTTCTTGGCATTGCTTCTGATCGCCTTCACATTATGCTGGTTGCCCTTTTATATCAACGGATGCTATACATTTTTATATTCCTCTGGTCTTCATAATGAAGCGCTTACCCATCTCGTGACATTCGTTCTGTGGATGGGTTCTGCCATAAATCCATTCTTGTACGCTTTCACCAACGTCTTCTTCAAGGAGAATTTTAAGCACTTTTTGAGATGCAAGTGAAGACAGACGAGTTTGGTGAAATAAGACTCTCTTTTCAGTTCAAATCACAGACAAAGATGCGGAGAGCATTGGTTTCTCTATTGTAAAAGAATAGACATACATTTTACAATATTGTATTCATATTTCTTCTTAAGTTATTCATCTTTGTTTTCATAACCTTTGTTACTATGTTATTTATGTCTTCAATATTTGGACTTATTATAGTGTGTAAATATTTTGTATGCATTGTTTTTATTGTGCAGGGCCCTCGGGGATAGCACTTTATAAACTGAGAAGGAAACCCTGCTTAAATAAAACTGCACAACCCCAATCAGTTATACCGGAAAAAGAGACCCGTGGGTCACAGTGATTCAGGTTGCTTTTCCACTTCCAGGCACAAGTGAAGCCAGATACTTAATAATGATTAATAATTATTCCAAAGATTGGTTATTCTTGGTTATTCATAACAAATAAATAGAGTTAGTAATTCCGAAAATGGTACATGGTTTAATTTCGGATTACGAAACTTCGTAGTGACGAACCCTCGATCGGAACTGCGAACTTTCGGGTTGAGCATTCGGACCTTACTTCGGATAAGTGAACCTTCGGCAATATGAACTTTTAGAAGAAAAAAGTTATAACAAGCCTGCTTCACTTGTGCTGAAAATTGTATGGGCAAATTCATGAACTCACCTTGACAAGGAGCTGTTCTGTTTTGAATGGGGTGTTTAGGGTTTCTTTGCGTTCATTTTCTACATGTTCCTCTCGTAAATGGGGGGGGGGGGGCGGTCTCATGAACCCTTCTCAAATCGAAAGCAAGTCCTTGAATCAATTAAAAACTTTATTTACGATCTTATATATCTCACAGAGTTGCGCAATGATAGATAATGAATATGAAAGAAAAAATGCGAACGATTGGGATCACTCGCAGCTTTCTATATGAGACGGGTCCCTTGAGTGATGCCAAATGTGTTGCTCCGACTATTATCGGCGACAATCGCTCCAGACTTTATTATGCAAAAAGTATAGGGTTAGGGTTAGGGTTAGCCTGTTGCAAATGGGTTTGAGTTAGGTTTAGGTTAAGATATAGGGTCAGGTAAACTGGTTTAGGGCTGAAGTTAAGTATTCGGTAAGTTTAGGAAATTACCGCAGAGCAATTGTCGCAGCTTCATTAATCGAAGGCACAATGCGGGAAATCTGTGAGAACGCTCTGGCTGGTAATTGTATTTTCTTTACAGAGATTTTAATGAAATATGAAATGTAGATCAATGTCTTGCCAAAGGACATTAGTGCAGCGGCGGGACTCGAACCGCGGACCTTGTGATCGACAGTCGATCCGGCGACATATCCACTCGACCACAACACCTCTACACCTCTCATTATGCAAATGTGTGGTATGATTGTACGACATGATTATGCTCCGACGACTAAACACATGCGAAAGAAATATAATATACATTGTATATGTATTATTAATTTATATATATTTTTGGGAAGGGGGGGTGGGGGCTATTCTTTCTTTCTTTCTACACCTTTATGGTATTTTCTACAAAATAGCCCCTTAAAAAGCGCACAATTCTAGGCTGAAGATTTGGAACAAAAGATAGTTAAACAAATATTCAGAATTGAAAGTAGTGTACAAAAATAATATTTAAAAAAACACCTGTGTGGTGTTCTTTCTCCCGCTAATTTTCGACTAGTTTTCAACTGTTTCATTTTGACTAGATAGGTAATTGCTCCGTCGTCGTAAACATCAAATCACAACCCTGGAATTAATATATGGTGGAGGCCTATCCCTTTCAGAGTAATCCTTGGTGCTTAATGTGAGCTAAAGATTGGATCCATGGTTCAGTCGAGATAGATCGAGGTTGGGTGGTGAGGCAATTTAAAAAGCCCCGTGATTTACTAAATTGGAGAGGCTTATCCAAGCCTGAGCCACTTAAAATGTATCATTGAACGGTACATTTGCCATTAGTGTTAACTTCCATGAAAACCTTAATTTGATTGGTTGATATACAAATAATACACGTTTGCGAGTGCATTGCATTAGAGAATATGCACTGCACGCATATTAAATCAATCGGTGTCTGTAGAATGTGAACATACCCTTCGCATCGACCCCCCCCCCCCCCACCATCCTGACAGAGAATATAAGTGTGCTTAATTCAGAGGCGGCGGAGCGACTTCTTAAGTGGGGGGGACCAACAAAAATGGGCACTTTCTGGAAAAGGGGCACCTTCAAAGGGATATCTCTAACCGAAAATATACCATTTTTTTAGACATTGGTATATAAATGATGATGATGAACAGCATTTGTATAGCGCCATTTATCTGCAAAAGCATTCAAAGGCGCCTGGCTCCCTCAATATGTCACATATTATTCGCAATGTTGCCGGAAAAGATAGGTTTTGAGTTCAGATTTAAAGGTATCAATGTTGTTACAATAAATACCCTATATTGTGATTACATTATCAGCCTGAGGGGTGATTTCCATATTTTTTTTCTTTATACATCATATACGATATTGCTTAAGCATCTTACTTTGCAGATAGGTGTGATGGTCTGAAAATTCAATTCCGAGCGAGGAATTTTTTTTGAGGTTTTTGTGGTCGCAGTGCGAAAAATTACATCTTATAAACAGGAAAAACCCAATCCTGATGGGAATATAAGCACATTCTCATATCGGAAGACTGAAAAGACCTTTGATAAGTTACATAATTATAACATCTATAACTACGAGCGAGAGTAGCGAGCGAGCTTGGGGGGGGGGGGTTGGGAATTGCTCTTAGTCGCTTGAAATTAAGGGTACGTTTAATGATGAGAGGAAAAGGGGACACTTATCGAAAGGGTTAAGAGACTTATTACAAAAGAAAAGGAGCACGTGTCAAAGTACAAAGGCTAATTATCAGAGGTGACAATAGGGCACTTCTTACACCTAAAAAAGGAGGCACGCGTCAGGGATAAAAAGGGATTTTATGAGAATGGAAAATGGGCATTCGTCGACGGAAAAGAGACACCCATCAGATTTTGATAGGGGCATTTACAAGACGTGAAAAGGGGCATTAATGAAATGGGATAGGTTCCTTATTAGAAAGGGAATAGGGGCACATATCATTGTTAAATGGTAATTATCAGAGGTGAATAGGGGCACTTATCGCATCTGAAAAGGGGCACTGACCATGCATGAAAAGAGGCACTTATGAGAATGAAAAAGGGGCACTAATGATAAAGGGAAATTTGCATTTGTTGAAAGAAAAGGGGCACCGATCATTTTCTAATAGGGGCATTTTTTTAGCGGAGGTGAAAGGGGGCTTTTATGAAAAGGGGGAAGTGGCTCTTATTAAAAAGATAAAGAGGCACATGTTAAAATAAACTGGACACTTATCAAAGATGAAAAGGGGTAATTATGAAAAAGGGGAAGGGGCACTTATAAGAAGGAAAAAGAGCATTTATTATGAAGGAAAAGGGGGACGTGTCAAAATAAAAGGGGCATTTATAAGAGATTAAAAGAGCACTTATCAGGAGGGGAAAGGGCTCTTCTTAAATGGGGGCCCTTATCATAAGGAAAGGGGCACATGATAACATATAAGGTGCGCTTACTCGAGTTTAAAAGAGGGTAGTTATTGAAAGGGGAAGGGGCACTTTTTACAAAGGAAAAGGGGAACCTGTCAAAGCAAAAAGGGAACCTCTCAAATTTGAATAGGGAAATTATCAGAGGTGAAGGGTGCACTTTTCCTATGTAAAAAGGGGTACTTCTTACAAAGTTAAAGAGGTACTTTTCCTATGTAAGAAGGGGCACTTTGGGGGTAATTTATAAAGTGGGAGGGCACTGTAACCCCCCCCCCCCCCCCCCCCCGCCTCTGGTGCTCATCTTCTCGCTGTTCATGTAGCCAGGGTCGTGAAGCAAACACACGACGTAAATGCCCAAATTTAGAACCTCTCCCTCCCTCAATAATCCTTCTCTCTCTCTCTCTCTCTCTCTCTCTCTCCCTCCCCCTCCCCACTCTCTCTCTCTCTGTCTCTCTCTGTCTCTCTCTCTCATCTTTACCTCTGTGTATTCTATTTGTTGTAATTCTTCATGCTTTATGACTAAAATAATTTTTCCAAAGTATACATAATAGCCAGAAATCTTTTCTATGGTTTAGATTTAATAAGTTTTTCATACTGCGATATATGACCACATTTACAAAACAAAAGGTAATGAAAACAAAAACTATTCAGCAACATCTTGACTTCTTTGCAAAAGAAAGTATAGATGACAAAGGATTTCACTAGTACTGGGGATTTTTCTACAGCACAAGACATACAACTCTATAGCACAAAATGATCAATATTTTACGACTGTATGAACATGACTTTTTTTTCTATTATATTACTTTACAGTGAAACTATATGGAATGAAAAGAGCAACCATATTAGAATAATCATTCTTGACATCAACAAGAGAGTATGTATGCATAGAATTAGACCACTGCAAATATATTCACAGTTGAGTTATGTTTGATATTGAAAATTAAATCTCCTGAGTTGCAGAGCTAAAGGCAAATATTGTGCTAAAGAATAACACAAACATGACCATAGCAAGTGTAACTTTCAATTCAAGGCATTATGAATAAAATTGTCGGTTGTAACAGACGTGGTCTCTAATTTCCAATTTGTCAACCTTTAGTTAAAAACTTGATGTCCCTTTTCATTGTATCGTTGCATAATTGGACATGGTACCCTTTGGTTTTGCCTTTGGTTAACAGTCAAGGAGATACGAAATAAAATCCATATAAATTCACGCACTGATCTTGCAGAATATCTTTCGTCAAAACGCTTCTCTGAAACTAACGTGATTAAAAATACTACTTTCGCTCGTGTATGGTGCGGTTGCCTTTTTGCGGCGATCTGCCGCGCCAAATCTTAACAAGCCTTTAGCGTATTTTGGGAGAGGTTCAGATTCACAGTCATGATGTAAAACGCAATATGCAAACAAGTTTCTTGAGATGAAAATGGCCACCATTAAAACGTTACAAAAGTTACACATTACTGAACCTCTGGGTTTACAGTGAGCATAAGCAAATAAGGAATAGTCATTGCATTTGAATTAAAACACACAGCTGCTTCTATTTCATAAGTTATACATACAATAGATATACATACAATGCTTCCTTTAATCTTATACTACATTCAATGCTTCATTACTTCTACATTCAAACCTGTCCTAGTAGCCACCTCTCTATAAAGTGTCTTTAGTGGCCATGCATTTTGTTTCACTCAGAGAGAGATCTGTGTTGTTCAACCTGTCTAGAAAGGCCACCCATCTATAGAGGCCCTTTCTCCTGTATCCCTCGGGTGACCTTAATAAACAGGTTTTACTGTATCATTATTCACTTCTTCATCGTCATTTATTTATCAATCATAAATTTTTAAAACAAAAGACTACAAAGAAACACATACAACAGCTCCTAAAGACCTATAAAGCCTCACTGACAAGATGAGAAGGCTATAGCACTACTATAGTAAACCACACCATATTATATTGTTCACTTACACACAAAGTGGCAAAGACATATATGTTTGACACATGTACAGGGTCCAAACGAGGAGCAGGTTAAGATTTACATCATCATTTTTTCACAAGTGGTTATCCTTCTTACACAATACTACATGTACAAAACAAGATTTTAAAAAATAATGCCTCGAAATAGAACAAATAGTTAGAAAATCTTGCAAGTAGCAGTTGTGTAATTTAAATGTAAACTTTGCAATCACTAGATGATTTTCTTTAGTTAGCAAAGAATAGAAAATGAAGTAGTGAAGTAGAAATACAGTTGACATTGAAAGACTAAGGATTATTGTAAGGCAATGAGGATTATTCTAAATCTAGAAAAATTATGAATTTATCAATTTCACACACAAATGACAATCATATGGGTTTTTGCTAAACATTAAAAGATATTAATAACATACATTTCTGTGGGAAATCTGTTGATTTAATCTTGAATTAAAATCTGAATCATCCTGAATTTGCAACTTATATTGATAATTAGATAGAGGCGGAGAGAGAAATAGGAGAGATATTGCGAATAGATGGATAATTCAAAGAGAGAAATGGATGAAGAGGAAGGGGAGGGACTACAGAAAGATGAGAGAGAGAGTGAGAAAGAGAGAATAAGGAAGAGAGAGAGAGAGAGAGAGATAGAGAGATAGAGAGATAGAGAGAAAGAGAGTGAGAAAGAGAGAGAATAAGAAAGAGAGAGAGAGAGAGAGAGAGAGAGAAAGGGGGGGGGGGGGGAGAGGTATACATTTGATCTGCCAAAAAATTCATTCAAATTTGTGAGATTATATTTGTCACTCCTTCATCCAAATTACCATAAAATGTTCCAAACAGGCTCACAATATTAAAAGAAAGTAATATACAAGCACTTAAATATGAAAATCTAAATCTAAAGCCAGCTAACAATTCTCAATTGGAATACATGCATGATACATGTACATGTAAATGTACTTTACATGTACAGTTGCTATGATTAACAGTGTACAATTATTCATGAGATTCTATAGGAAACTAGTGGAGTGCCTCTGCCTTGCTCAGAAGGACATGGTTCCAGTGATGAACTGTGGAAAAGATGAGGATAAGGTAAAAATTATAAATTATAGAAAATACTAAAAATACTGTATTTCACAATATAAATTCATGTATCACTAAACAAGACAAACACGAAACAGAGAGGGAGGGATAGTGAGAAGCAGAGAGAGGAGAAGGAGAGAGAGAGGGAGAGAGAGAGATATAGAGAGATTACCACTGGTAAACTCGAATTTACAACTGACAGGTCATCCATAAGACTGACCAATTACAGACAGACCCCATCTTGTCACTCAGTACAAGTTTTCAAGCCTATAGCTGCCTCAACATTTGCTCTCACAACAGGGCACTTTCAAAGGGATATCTCAAACCGAAAATATACCAAAGACTTCAGGGATAGAGTTCCTATTGGATTTTACGTTAGGTTTAAGGTCGGGGGCAGGTATAAGCATTTGGTCTCGGGTTGAATATAGGAATTGGGTTAAGTTATAGATTAATTATATGAAAAAATACATTATACGTATGTATTCCACTGCATATCTGTTTTTTCTGAAAACAAAAATTAAAAAGAAACAAACAATTTTTTTTCGCAGGAGCATGTGTGTTACAAGCAAGCCTATGGTTTATCAGGGTATACACCGATTCGGGCGACTTCTGGTGGAAGTGCGCCCTCATAAGGTGACGCCATAACTGGGGGGCGTCTGACTGCAGCTAGCTAGCTTACATTGCATTGCAGCAGACGGGTATGCTATACCTATACCGAACCTCGCCCAGGCCGGCCAGGGTCGCTGCTCCGCTAGCTAGTAACCGCTCTCGAGCTCTCTGTACTGTCAGCTGGATCGGAGAAGCCCCCAGTTATAGCGCCGCCACCGGCGGGCAGGTACATAAAACCCCAAACCGAATCGGTGTATAGAGGAAGAGTTTTACTCACATCATCATACGCCATGGTAGCATTGCCAAGCTGCTGGACGTCCTTCCTTCGGAAGAAATCTACAACCAAAGTAACACAATATAGCCTTGGTCACTCAAGATATTTAACCATCTCAAAAGAGAAAAAAGGAAAAGAAAAAACAAGATTCCTATTCCTACATATGAATTCATTGATCAATGATCTTGTGACCTTTAACATCTGACCTCATGGATCTAAATTTTTATCATTTAATTTCTTAAGTTCTTAAGTTTTTAAGTCAACAACTTCTGATCTTCAAAGCTTTAGATTTTGAGTTTTCAGAGAGCTGATGCTCCTCTGACAGACACTAAAATGGCATATAATTGATATTATTGTAATTTATGGCTTATAAGCTTTCCATTGATATATAATTCATCCATTTTGTTTTTCAGTTTGACTATGGTGTTTAAATACAGAAATGTGAAATGTATTACACTTACTAGGCTTCATTAAAAAAAAATTTTGAGGTTTTGCCACCCCATATCTGAACGAGCTTTTAGTCTGCTGAAAGCCAGAAGGTCTTTAACACAGTGTTAACATGGAGTAAAGACCTTTTTACTCTTTAAAGCCCCACTGCACAACTTAAAGCTCCATGAGCCCTCTATATAGCAAACAATGCCTAATCGGTGCCTGTTGGTCCCCCATGATCCTCTATTTCTTATGTTAATAGAGAGCTGATTTGATGAGATAACCACCTGTCTGTGACCTTGCAGGGAGGTCTAATCCCCCCTGGCAAAACTAGTACAGACGGGCGTTAATACTATTTCTAATTTGATGGTTAGCATCGATTACAAGCTATCTATACTGTACCTGTTAGACCCCTGAGGCGCACTGCACATGCAACAAACGCATCAAAGGGGATTTGGTTGGCCACTCCGTAACGTCTTACCAGTGCTCCGATGGCCTGTGGGGATAACCTGTACCCTGCATGATCATAGGAAGAAGAAGTAGACAAATAATGATAATAATAATATGTCCATATGTATCGTGCAACTACTACATTTTGTATATGTAATGTAATATATCTGAATATCATGTACAGTCAAACCTGCTTTAGTGACCACCTGTATAGAAAGACCACCTGTCTACAAAGACCACATTTTTTTGTTTCTCTTGAAAAGGGTTTCTCATTGAAACATGTACTTAAGGAACATGTCTACAAAAAACACTTTTTGTGTTTCCCTTGGGCGGTTGCTATAGACAGGTTTCACTGTACCTTGAATTTCTGCATTCATTGTAGTCAAGATACACATTTAGCATTTGATATTGCATTTACATGTACTCTTATATGACTTTAACCTCTGAAATGAATCTGTACTCAAACAATGTTTTCTTTTTTAAGAAGTAGAAGAAGGACAAGAAGTGGAAGAAGAGGACATACCGAAAGCACCAAAAGCTGCTGCAAGCTCGTTGCCATCGATTTGACCTGACCTATCTCTGTCATAGGTCATGAAGGTCTGTTTCCACTGATTAAGAACAGTCCAGAGTTCCTTGAATTCATTGAATCCCATCTTTCCAGAGTAGTCACGCTGTACATAGAACTCTAGTCAAAGAAAGCTTCACAGATGTAATAGCTTAAACCACTACATGTAGCTACTTGGGCCCTCTACACAGCAAATAATGTAGTGTAGTGCAGTTATCGCACAGAGTAAATTGCATGGCTTGAGTGCCGGGGCATCGCGCCAGTTGGCCGTGCGCAGGCATTGGATATAGGGGGAGGGGACGCGCGTGCAGCGCAAAGTACCTTTTTTCCCTAGGGAAAAAAGTTACTATGCGTGACGTCAGCAATAAAAAATGAACTACATGTATTCCGATGTAGTCGGCAGGAAACGTCTTTCATTGTAAAACTATTCTTTTTCTTGTTGTGTACACTTCTAATGCAGCAATCTTACGATAAGGTATATAATAAATGATGTTGAAGATGAAGTATTAAGAAAGGATACATCCAGCATGTTGATCATCAAGGTGCATGTCTCTATGCTGAAAGCTGCAATCAAGATACAAACGTTGTAATCAAATATACCATTCAGCATTCACAATAAAACACTGCATCAAAGAACTTCTCCAACTTCTGGATGAATCATCTTTGCCTTCTCAAATTGGCATCAATTATATTTTTTCTCACTCAATACATTCTGAAGGCAATAAAATGTACATTTCATAAATCTGTTTGACTGGAGATTAAAAATACAATCAACATCCCATCCTCCCCCCTTCCTAAAAAAAAAGCCAATAAATGTGTTACATGTTCCATAAAGCATTTCCAATCTACAGTTTTTACTGGTTATTTTCACAATATTCCTTTTCATAAATGACATTAAGTTCTGCATCAGATCTGAATTCAATTTGGCATTGATTTTTGCTCTTTCTGTTCATGAATTATGTGTAATTCATTAGGTGTAGCACACTACAGTGTAGATTGAAAGTTGATGCAAAAACACCAATACCTACAGTATTATAATATTCAGTCAGGGGAAGATCAGGGGAGGAAATGATGGGGGGGGGCTCCTTAACTGAGGAAAGAGGAGATAAGAACAGAAAGAAGACAGGTCGAGAAAAAAGAGTAGAGAAGAAAAAGAAGAGATGAGAAAGGAAAGAAGAGATGAGAAAGAAGAGAAGTGATGAAAAGAGAAAAGATGAGATGAGAAAAAATGAGATGAGAAAGAAGAGAAGTGATGAAAAGAGAAAAGATGAGATGAGAAAAGATGAGATGAGAAAGGAGAGAAGAGATGAAAAGAGAAAAGATGAGATGAGAAAAAATGAGATGAGAAAGAAGAGAAGTGATGAAAAGAGAAAAGATGAGATGAGAAAAGATGAGATGAGAAAGGAGAGAAGAGATGAAAAGAGAAAAGATGAGATGAGAAAAGATGAGATGAAAAGAGAAAAGATGAGATGAGAAAAAATGAGATGAGAAAGAAGAGAAGTGATGAAAAGAGAAAAGATGAGATGAGAAAAAATGAGATGAGAAAGAAGAGAAGAGATGAAAAGAGAAGAGATGAAAAGAGAAAAGATGAGATGAGAAAGAAGAGAAGTGATGAAAAGAGAAGAGATGAAAAGAGAAAAGATGAGATGAGAAAAAATGAGATGAGAAAGAAGAGAAGAGATGAAAAGAGAAAGATGAGATGAGAAAAAATGAGATGAGAAAGGAGAGAAGAGATGAAAAGAGAAGAGATGAAAAGAGAAAAGATGAGATGAGAAAAAATGAGATGAGAAAGAAGAGAAGAGATGAAAAGAGAAGAGATGAAAAGAGAAAAGATGAGATGAGAAAAAATGAGATGAGAAAGGAGAGAAGAGATGAAAAGAGAAGAGATGAAAAGAGAAAAGATGAGATGAGAAAAAATGAGATGAGAAAAAATGAGATGAGAAGAGATGAGATGTGAAAAAAAGTAGAGATGAAAAGAGAAAAGAAGAAAATAGAAGAGAAAAAAGAGGAAGATAATTACGTTGATAAGTTCCAGCGAATCCAGATGATGTAAGACAGTGTTGTAACTCCTTCTGATCTATCTGTTGATCCTGTAAGAGTCACATAAGAATCAAGATTTAATACCACCTTCCATAACATGTTTTAATCATGACCAAGTACATTTTAGATCAATACTGAACATTATTCACATAAATGCCAATACATTATTCAATTGAACATTAATCAATTGGAACGAAAGACACTGCAGCATCAAACCCCTTTTCTGTTACCCCCCCCCCTTTTTTTGGGGGGGGGGGGGGGTATTGTATTTCTGAAGTACTGATATCACAATATTGTAGAGGGGAAAGATCTGAGATTTTTGGAAGGGAAAAGGGTACAGTGATATTCAAAAGATCAACTGTCGCCCACAAATAACTTAAATGATAATTTTTAAATGCTAAAAACATTATATTAAGTATTTTCTAAAGATTTCATACACTGTATGAGAAAAAAACACACAAGGCCCTGGAAGAACAAAGCACTCTTGGTCTGATGTTCACTCAAAGAGTTTAATCAAGGATTTCACAATAGTTTCAACTGAAATCTCAGTCGTAAAAGTACAGATTCCTCTTAATGAAAAAGAAATAGAAGTTGTATTGTAATTCATCAAGGATTTCCTGTTGATTACCAGCTAAAATGGCACCATTTATGTCCATTTGAGGTCACACATGTAAATGTCACTATCTTAATGAGTCACTAACAATAATGAATAAGTTGGATTAAAAGCATACACCTATATAAATTATTATCTATATTAGGCTTCCAAGTGGTACAATAAATCAGTGTATTTAAAGATAAACTTTAGTACTGGTAATGCGATTGCATTGTGAAAGAAAAGATGTGGAAAGGATCAGAAACAGTTGATCATGTAGCATGTAAGTATTGGTGTGCACTGCAAGGTTCTGGAGTCATCAAAATCATAATAAATTTGACCGAGTCTTGGTTAAGTAACAAGCACTCACATAGAAAGCTATATATGGGACAACACACATGGTGTCGGGGCTAGTACTACCTTGATTTCCTTGTCTTTCTATGCTCATTACTCAGCCAGTATACATTTTCTTCCAAAATTGTTTGGCACATGTCATTTATTTGTAATCTTGAACATTCAGTGTAAGTTTCGTTTGATTCTGTGAGAATTAATAAATTATTTTTTACCAGTACTGGAGTTTATCTTTAATACCTTGAGCGCAGTACCCAGATGACTGATTAATATTGTTTTCGTATTGCTCAGTCATCCTGGAACTGCAACTATCAATATCACACAAAAACAAAGCCATATTTACTGAGGTACCTGTACTGTAAGTCAATTTTTGTTATTTTGCTAGTCAGCCTAATATAGATAATAATAATAATAATAATATTGTATGGCTTTGCTTTCGTGTGATACAAGAATATATTGCTCTCGCTACTCTTGCACCACACTCAAAGCCATCCAATATTATATAAATATTGCGATCTAACTAATTTAAGGATAATAGGAAGTTAGTTATTCCTGTACATGTATCTGAGTATGCATGCACATCATTACAGGCTTAACTATTTGCTTGACAGGGCAATGAGGGCAGGCAATCCTTTCAACCATAATGAAAGAAATAGTTGTGACATGTGTACTCTAACACGGTCATGGGTTAAATCATGTTTAAGTTTGTACCAAAAATATCTGCTATACATGTAAACTGCAAAATACAGTTTAGGAGAACCATACTTTTGGTATCCATGCTAAAGGAAGTTCTTTGTAATATTATAATTCAAATAAAAAAGAAAAGAATAAAAATACACATCTTTAGAATTTTGTTTCATGGCTGTTCTTAATGATTATCAATTTTCTATACAAACCAAACTTAAAAATCTTTGAACTATACAGATAATAATAAGATGAAAGTACCAATACTTACTTAAAATCCAAATACTTATTTACAGCATTTACATGTTTTCATATTGAGAGGATATTAAATCACTTGAAAGTAATAAAAACAGATTTCAACTTACTGCACCAGCCACAGCTGCAAAGTAGCCATACAATGGATCCTGAAGAAAAGAGATGGATAGAGAACAAAATTAATAGTTTAAAATAGTTATGAGACATTAAAAGTAAACTAGACTAGAATTCATCACTACTGACGCATTACAGGATCTGCCGTTCGATCGACGAACGCTCAAAAACGAGGAGCTGTAATTCACTCTCATATTTTACCCTTTAGATTTTGTAAACAAAATTCTGGGCTAACCATTAGATGACTTCACAGTTAAGTTTACCATGTCATACTGTGTCACAAACCTTTAGGAATTAAAAATTGCTTGATAAGTTAAGTTAAACAATACCCTACCACAGAAGGAGTAGCTACAGGAGGCGGGTAAGCACCAAAGCCCGGGGCTCCTACAGGTGGGTAAACACCAAAGCCTGATGCTCCTACTGGTGGCACAGCACCAAAGCCAGGTCCTTCTATAGAGGGGTCAGCAACAAAGCCCATTCCTTCTAAAGAGGGGTCAGCAACAAAGTCCAGTCCTTCTATAGAGGGGTCAGCAACAAAGCCCAGTCCTTCTATAGAGGGGTCAGCAACAAAGCCCAGTCCTTCTAAAGAGGGGTCAGCAACAAAGCCCAGTCCTTCTATAGAGGGGTCAGCAACAAAGCCCAGTCCTTCTATAAAGGGGTCAGCAACAAAGCCCAGTCCTTCTACAGGTTGGTAAGCATCAAAGTCTGGTGCTCCTACAGGTGGGTAAACACCAAAGCCAGGTGCTCCTACCGGTGGCACAGCACCAAAGCCCGGTGCTCCTATAGGGGGGTCAGCAACAAAGCCCTGTCCTTCTACAGGGGGGTAAGCACCAAAGCCCGGTCCTTCTACAGGTGAAGCACCACTGTCCGGAACGACTACTACTTTGGGGTGCCGAGCTGCATCGACACCAACATCCCACGCAGCTAAGCATTCCTCCATCAATTCCTCAGTCAATTTGATATACATACTGTCTTTGATGAATGTCTATCTCAGCTGATGATCTCTCTTTTAAAGTCAAACTTAAATGTGGCTCTGTCAAACTCCCGTCCTATTTTTACAATGCATCAGTAAACATGGTTGGTTTTGATATGAAACATCTCGTTCATGACAGGAAATTACCGCAATATTCATGAAGGAGAAATATCCTCAACAACCGGAATCAATAAGTGTGATTTTTAATTTCTGGTACGAGTTCAAATATTATCATTTCAGTTCTTTTGATTAAGCACCAGAATATTATCCTCTTTACCTTGTCGAGGTAGCTTGGTCTAGCGGACTTATCCTTCGACAGGACCTTAAAGGGATTGGGTATCTTTGCCTTAGATTTTAAACAAAATCCTGCATTTAGCTCATGCTGCAATCCTACATGTAATTATAAACCTTTTAAGTCAGTCAGGAATCCCATGACTTGTACTTGTAAGCCGATCGCCTGTCTGATTATCAAGATAATTACAATTGGAATTAAAAATGTCAAAACTGTTTGCCACACAGTTTTGTTATAACACTACAGTCTACTGGGGAAAATGAGTACCAGTATGGTAAAACAGGTCACTCAAAGATTTTACTGTTTTGAAGCACTTCATGATCATTTTGAAGCACAATTTTTTAGGGCTTCAATATTACACCATATCACAGACACTGATAACACGTAGGGCCAAGCATCTCAGATTTGTAAAACTGGAAACATTGTTAAACAATGATTTTAAATCTCAATTTGAATCATATTTGCCATCCTTGACCCTAGTCTTGTACATGTACATGAACATTGGTAACTAGTAGGGAAAACTTCCTTGAATACAGCAGCTGATTGGCTAAAGCTGAATGATGTAATCAATTAATAATAGCTATCTACAAATGACTGGTTCTGGATGACATATGAAGTCACTCATGATTGGTCAGTCATTTCATACAGCCTCAGTATTGTAAATCTAATTTCCTCAATTGATTTTGAAGCCTTAGCATAGTCCAATTATGGTATCAAAATAAAATTGTTTGTTCGAAAAGAGGAAGTTATTGCTAATAATTATTTAGGCCTGACTCGATGAGGCTATATTAGGTAAATAGGTACATGTACAGACCTGTCATTATTTTCTTGAAAAATTCTATCAAGGAAATTGACATTGTAATATCATATGCACATGTTCTCCACAAAGAGTGTTGGGATATGGTTTTCCTGTATGGCCCTTGTCCAAGCAATACGGACATCAATGCTTCAAGCATAATTAAAACATTCTGCATTTCTAAAGAACAGTAATTTATTAGAATTTCCAAAACAATAATAATCATAAATATATCTTGATGTAAATGCACATTTTCTATTAAATATATTATGTGTCTAGGAACAGTTACGCCTTCTTCAACTATGAGGCTCTGAATTGCAGTGGTGTTTTTTGTAATGATGCACCATTTTTTATGGCAGTTTACCGTGTCATATCTGAACCGGGATCTGAACTAAGTCACAAACCTAAAGGAATTCAAAATTGCTTGAAAAGTTAAACAATACCCTACCACAGAAGGAGGAGCCACAGCAGGTGGGTAAGCACCAAAGCCTGGTCCCCCTACAGGGGGGTAAGCACCAAAGCCAGGTCCTCCTACAGGGGGGTAAGCACCAAAGCCAGGTCCTCCTACAGGGGGGTAAGCACCAAATCCTGGTCCCCCTACAGGGGGGTAAGCACCAAAGCCCGGTCCTCCTACAGGGGGGTAAGCAAATCCAGGTCTTCCTACAGGGGGGTAAGCACCAAAGCCTGGTGCTCCTACCAGTGGAGGTGCAGATGCTATAACAGGTGGAGCACTACTCAAGGGAACAACCACTACTGTGGATTCCTGAGCTACATGCATATCGACAGCAGCCTTCATCATAGCATTGTGTGTCTTCATCATTCCGCTGAGCATACTATCCATGATGAATGTCAGTCTCAATCAATCTCTGCTAATCGCTCAATCTCAACTGATGATCTCCCTTTGGAAGTCAACCTTAAAAGTGTCTCTGGATCCACCTCCACTCCTATTTTTATTAACACAGTTGGCAACTTGGTTTCAAAATGAGCCATCTCCTTTTTACCAGGAAATGACTGAACTGTTTTAACAAGGAAATTTACATTGTTATATCACATTCATTCACATGTTCCCCCAAAAGAGCAATAGGATATCATTTTCCTGTATGGCCCTAGTCCAAGCAATACGGATATCAATGCTTCAAGTATGATTAAATCATTCTACATTTCTAATGAACAGTAATTCATTAGAATTTCCAATTAAAATAATAACACAAAACATTTCTTGCTGTAAACGCACATTTTCTATTAAATAGATTACAGTGTCTGGGAACAGGTACGCCTTCTTCAGCTACATGTAGGTGGCTGTAAGCCGCAGTGTTTTTTTATAATGATGTAAAGTGTAATACTAATATTCTTCGCTTTTCTGTATCATATTTATAACAAATAGCTTTACACATTGGAGCTTTGTTGTGGTAGAACTTTTGCCATTCATTTTTTAAAGTACAAAGTAAAAAAATGCACCATTTTTAGGTGGCAGTTTACCGTGTTATATCTGAAACGAAGTCACAAACCTATAGGAATTCAAAATTGCTCGAAAAATTAAACAATACCCTACCATAGAAGGAGCACCTACAGCAGAGGGGTAAGCACCAAAGCCCGGCGCTCCTACAGGTGGCACGGCACCAAAGCCCGGTACTCCTACAGGTGGCACAGCACCAAAGCCCGGTGTTCCTACAGGGGGGTAAGCACCAAAACCTGGCGCTCCTACCGGTGGAGCACTACTCCCAGGAACGACCACTACTGTGGGTTGTCGAGCGACAGCAGCCTCCATCATAGCATTGTGTGTCTTCATCATTCCGCTGAGCATACTATCCATGATGAATTTCAGTCTCAATCAATCTCTGCTAATCACTCAATCTCAACTGATGATCTCCCTTTGGAAGTCAACCTAAAAAGTGTCTCTGGATCCAACTCCACTCCTCTTTTTATTAACACAGTTGGTTTCAAAATGAACCATCTCCTTCTTATCAGGAAATGACGGAAATATTCTAACAAGGAAGTTTACATTGTAATATCATATCCACATGTTCACACAAAAAGCGGTGGGATATCCTTTTTCCTTATGGCCCTAGTCCAAGCAATACGGATATCAATGCTTCAAGCATGATTAAGCATTGTACATTTCTAAAACCAAATGTACCTAGACACTAAAAAAACAAAAAAACTCGTCCATGCATTCGTCATTTCCCGACTGGACTCAGTCGCATCCCAGACTCAGAAGTGAACAAACTACGACACATTCAGAATACCGTAAACAGAATGATTGAACAAACCTGACGCACAGAGCACATACATGTATCACCTATCCTCCTTCGTCTTCACTGGTTACCTGTCAAAATACAAATAGACTTCAAAGTCCTACTTCTCACATAAAAAATACTCCACGGCAAAGCCCTTTCCTATCTACATCCATATGTTCCTGCCCGCACTCTCCGATCTCAACAACAAAGTCTCCTACAAGTTCCACGCACCCATACCGGTACTCAATTCTATGGCGAAAGATCCCTAAGCTACAGGTGTATGGACCCACCCTATGGAATAACTTACCCCTCAATGTTCGTAATGCCCCCACCGTTGATTCATTCAAATCACTTCTGAAAACATTTATGTTCATCCAATAGTCTGTTAATTATACATGTATGCTTGTTTAAGTCAAATGATGTTATTTCTTTACTATGTCCAATAAGATCTTAGCTATTCAACTATTATAATTGTGTTCATAAGTTTATACCATTTATACATGTATTATATCTGATTTTTTTTTTTCCAAAATTGTATATGCTATTTCTGTTTACGGTATGCATATTTAATTCTTTATATCAATCATGTAATATATTGTATAATTGATTGTTGTAAAGCGAATAGAGAATTCATTATTATGAGCTACCAGTATGTAAAAATGATTTAATTTTTCTTTTACCCAATTTCTGAGAAAATTTTTAGCGTCAAATAAGCAGGGAGGGGGAGGGGGGGGTAAAACATTAATTTGTTTTTTTTCTTTACACTCATCCCTCTCCCTTTAGCAAAACAAATACATGTAATAATGATAATAATAAATGTTGGCCAGGGGGAGGGGGGGGGGGGCATTTTCATTTTTTGTATAAAAAAGGTAAAGTTAATGTTACCATACAACGGGAACCAAGAAGTGCTTATTAAAATTTCCAAAAAGAGAACACATTCTACTTTTTATTAACATCAAAATACCATCCTAGTTCCATTGTGGAGGTGGCTTGGTCTAGCGGACATGTTCTAACACTGGTTAGAATGACAGCCATGTCAGTGTGAATTACTTGGAACTGATTAAGTAACTCTAAGGACCCGATAATCTCATGGGATTTACAAGAAGGGCATTTTGGGCCTGGCTTTCAAATAACTTGTAATGGCCCTCCTTCGTATACATACATTGATTTGTCCTGTTCTATTGGCTAGTGACCAGACTACAAGAATGCCCAACCCCCCCCCCCCCCCCTCTCCCAGGTTCCCTTATTACCAATAAAGGTATGGTCTACATCCTTATGTATTAACCATGAGTGTGCTTTTACATTGTGATACCATATCCACCTGTTTCCCACAGAGAGCAGTGGGATAACCGTGGGATAACCGTGGGATAACCGTGGGATATCAATTTCTGTTATGGCTCTAGTCCAAGAAATCCATACAACAATGCTTCAAGCTGGTTGACCCATGGCGTAGCCAGGATTTTTTTTCGGGGGGGGGGGGGGGGTGTTGGCACCATAGTGACCAGACAAGTTTGATGGTGAAGAGTGCAAAATGAAACATAACAACGGATAGTCAACCTGTTCGAAACGTCGAGCCACTTCCGCCACCCATCCTCTCCAAGCGCTGTAGTTCTCCTTAGAACTATAAGCTAAGAAAGAAAGATAACCAACAGTCTTT